TGACAACTGCAAACAGCCAGAGGTCTCCTGGTCTCATCTACCGCAATGCCAAAAAGTCCAACACATCCAACGAAGAGTTTAAGCTGCTACTCCTCAAGAAAGGCAGTCGCTCTGATTCCAGTTACCGCATGTCTGCCACTGAGATCCTGAAGAGTCCCATCCTGCCCAAACCTCCTGGGGAACTCACAGTGGAGTCCCCCCAAAGCACCGATGATGCCCATCAGGGATCCCCTGGGGCCGAGGCATTGTCCCCACTCTCCCCTTGCTCCCCGAGAGTCAACGCGGAAGGATTTTCCTCTAAGAACTTTGCCACCTCAGCATCAGCCAGGGTTGGACGTTCCCGGGCGCCCCCTGTAGCCAGCAGCAGCCGCTACAGTGTCCGCTGCCGGCTGTACAACACACCCATGCAGGCCATCTCAGAGGGAGAGACGGAAAACTCCGACGGGAGCCCACATGACGACCGCTCCTCCCAGAGCTCCACATAGGCCGCCTATGTCAGGCTGCCCCCAAACGCCCAAACCCTTAGTTCCAAGGGGATGTGGGGATGCTACAGAGGACTCCGGACAAGTAACAGGACTGGGGAGCATCACTGCTTAGCAACGGATTTCTAAATACATGCTGGGGAAACAAAAAGTGGTTTAGTCATTCTTGATTCGTTTCCATGTTTTGAGTAACTGCACTGTCTTTTCATGGTTTTTCTTTAGCTTAGTTTGATTTACCCAACCTCATTCCCCGTGATAATAAAGCATATAAAAATATCTAATTTTCATGAAACCTACCCAAGGTTTTTCCCAGAGCTGCCTATTCAAAAAAAAATAAAATAAAATAAAGCCCTCACTGTCATGATTCTTTAAGAAGATGAAATTACTCTGGAGGTTTGGTATTTTTTTACATTAAAATGAACAAAAGCAAAATTTAGAAGAAAGAAGTACACATATGTAAATACCATATTTTTGATAAAAATGTGTAAATAGGTTTATCAATGATGAGTGGACATGTGGCCAATTATCTACCGCACACCAACTGTTTGTAGAACACACAAAATAAAGTGTAATAACTGTATTCTGTGAATACCATTTTCATATCAATACCATATTTAAATGTCCACCGATAATTTCTGAGTGATGAAAACCTCAAACACGAATTTAAAACTGGTGAAATAAAGGAAACCTTGAGGTCATATACTAAAATGTGATTAATCTAAGATAAAGAATTCAGACCTAATCATTTTTATGACAAATTACAGCATAAACAAGCTAATAGCAACCTGTAGCTGTGATTTGCCATGTGGTCATTTGGACAGAATGAAAAGCATGCTTTTGACTTTTTTTTAGTCAACATGAGAGAAGTCATCATTCTCAACACAAAGCCCTGAAAAAACAGCATTTGACAGTGAGTGTCCTTTAGACTTTAATTTTTTCAATGGATTGCTTTAAAGAGAATGAGTAGGGAAACCAGTAGTTAATTTTAGGTTATGTTTTATATTAGGCTACTGGGGACATAAAAGGTCATAATCCAATGACTATAATCTTTAAAATCCTTCAACAGTTTAGCAATTAGCTCCAGGTTCTTAAACTAACAAAAATAAAATGTAAGCATGCCACAGAGCTATTGATTTATCAGTAAGTACCTGCAATGAGTTTTCAGTGAAGCTTTCTCTCTGTGCTGATGAGATTCATGCTACCTAAAAATTAACAGAAATGACACTGTGAACAATGTAGTTGGGAAATAGGTATGTGTATATGCATTATTTATATTCACTGTTAAACTGGGAATGGGGAACAGCTCTGGTTCACAATGCTACATACAACTGAGTTTTTGTCTGGTTTTACTATATCTGCTTGATGGCAAAGGGGGAGGGTGGCGGGTGGGAAAAGAACTGTCAGGGCAAGTGCTCTGATAAAATGAAGGCAGGGAAACAAGCTGAATTACTTGAAATTACTTGAATTTTCTTGTCTTAAAACTGAAAAAAAATGTAGTTACAAGTTGAAATCTGCAAGTGATTTTTACACCTCTGACTTTCACGTGAACTGATACTAATATTTGGAATCGTGTCAGAAATATAAGCAGCTATGTACTTAGAATAGGTTTTGAATGGGAGAGGTAGAAAGTAGAGAGAACTAAGAAGAGATATGGCCTATAAAAGACTAGAATGTGAGTAGAATGATAGACTACACCAGGGTTACCAAGAAATTGATATGCAGCTGGCTTTAAGCCCATGCAAGTGGTATTTGGAAAAGTAGGATGTGTGGAAAGGGGTTTGTGGTTTGGGATTAACTCAATTCAAAATGAAGGAGAAAGCCTGGTCTAAGAAGATACTGTCTTTCAATAGAAATGTGTTTTAAGATGTTACAGATTAAGAATTAGAGAATCTGATTGCTGTTGGTGTTTTGTTTGTTTGGAAAGAAAAAAAAATGTTTGGCTTCTACTATTTGTTTGTACTACCAAATTGTGTTACTTAATTTCTTGTCATTCTTGTATGTAAAAATGGGTGCTGGGGGTGGAGGGGTAGAGGAGGAGATTGAGAGGGGGTAGAGAGAGTGTGACAGGGAGAGAGCGAGCGAGAGAGTGTGTGTGGGTGTGTATGTGTGAACATGTGTACTGGGGATAGATAAGCTACCTGGTAAAGGGTTTGAACATTTACAAAGTGTTATACTTTTTATTAAAAGAAAAATGTTCTGGGGTTTGAAAAAAATGGACCATCATTTCTCATTGGAACACACTAATTAAGACAACCAGCATGGTTTGACACCACATGGGAACATGAACAGATCTGTCTCATGCTTCGAAAAGTACACTTGGCAAAATTTTAAAAATAAAGTTTTTAGACAAATGTGATAAGAAACCATCATTTCCAGTCACAATGGTGATCTTTTATAATTCTCATAAAAGCAGTTCGTTTGCAGTATGGCTTTTGCGTAGTTAGGGGTTTTTTAAGAGTGAAGAAAGAGATATGTGGGCTTTAAAAATGATTCTAAATCTTGAATAGAAAACATGGATTGGCTTTAATAAAAATGTCACCTTTTTATTATTGACATTAATTTAAGTAATGGTACCATATATATTTTAAAATACATATTGACTTGAATTGTAAGGCAATAAGATACCTTCTATATGATCACAGAACTAACCCTTATAAATATAGTTTTACTTATTTTGTTTACTCTAAAAATCTATAGCAGAGTTTCTCTATTTTATATTTCATAGATTTAAGAAAAACCCAAATAAAGATGGATTTTAAATTCACTGTGGAAAAGAGTATTGAGTAACTGAGTAAAAAAGCAAGAAATTCCTTAAGCATCTGGAATATTCTACATGGATTTGTTATGTAACAAACAAAACCAAGATTTAGAGCTGTCTTTAACATCACTGCTGGCTTGAAGCAGGTTACACACATTAGGTATTGTAAAGAACATCAACCTGAACTTTTCTTCTGTTGTTTGCACTGATGCTGATTTTTTTTTTTTTATGTTTATACAACAGGTCTATGTTGTGTAGGGGAGATTTTTTTTTCTTTTTCCCCGACTTTTGATTTTGCTTTGATTTTGTTGTTGTTTTGTTTTGTTTTTGGCTAAGTAGAGGACATGGACTAGTTGTATAGCAAACAAAACATGCTGTTTGCTCTTGCCAAAGGTCAGTGTGTGGGTACATTTGCTGCAGTGGTGGCACTTAAGAACTAGATCCTGGCAAAGATTTAAAATTATGAAGAAGGTTACAGTGTAACTATTTTGGTACTAGAACCAGTTCATGCTGGCCGAAAAGACAATGGTTTATGGACTTGCATCCATTTTGTATTTTTGTAATATTTGTAAATATAAACTTTTTAAATTGTTGCAAAGATGGTTTCTTTTGTAAAATGTTTTCAACGTTTACATTCAATCCAAGCCTTTGTATATTTTAGAGCTGTGCAACACTTTAAGTCTTGTATTTATTTTTAGTAAAAACGGTGACAGTTTCATTGTGAACCCCTCTCAAAAAATGTATCAGAAAAGTTTGATTACCTAGAAAGTGTGTATAGAAACTGCAAATAAACGTGACTGCAATTAAACAACTCGTTTCTCTTCATGTTATAAAATTATATTCTTGGGTTTTACAAACAAAAAGTGGACATAAAGGAGGGATTTATCATGGCAAAAGTTGAAGCAAAAAATCTATAGTGGGCACTAAACTAGTTTCACGTTACATTTCCAACATTCAAGCTGTTTTCCTTGTAGTTCCTTTCTGGGCCAGGAAAAGAGCTGTGACTTGACTTTGAAACAACTGACTGTTTTGCTTTTGATAAATTACTCAGACTGTTCCTCCTTCCCAAGATGAGCATCCTTGATGCACGGAAGGCAATATGTCGCTAGGTAATGTGACGTACCCTTATTACATAGCATAGTTCTATGCCAAGTACTGTTCTAAGTGTTTCTTAGAACATATACTAAGTCCTGTTCCCCCTTCATATGTCCACTTTACAGAGAGGGAAACTGAACACAGGGCGGTTACTTGGCTTGCCCAAATCACAGAGCAACTCTGAGTGTTGACGCTGGGGTTCAAACAGCAAATATCGCTTCAGGACCTGTATTAGTTCTCTACTTCAGTGTTTGTGGGAGACTGGAATTGACTTTTCCCAAGTTCCTACCAGTCTTAGCACCTTAGCAAAGGCTCATTCCCTCTACCCAAATTGAAGCACTGACATGAACCCTTGGAATTCAGTCAACGTGGATGACGCTGGGGACTGGGAAGTGATGGGATTATATGTAAGCAACAGCAGGCTTCGAATAACCAAACAATGAAAGTGGGGAAGCCAAGCATCTAATGACCCTCAACCTCTCCAGCCTCCCGCTAGAACGGCTGTACCGCGGGAAAAGTTGCGCGTGCGCGTCGGACCTCCCGCGCAGCCGTAGAAACCTCTCCCCGCATAGCTTCTTTCCAATTGTAGTCACTTCAGCGAAAGAAAATCTGGGATCAGGTACCCAGCTACCACCGTTACGAGACCAGCGCCCCCAGTCTCTCGGGCAGCAAGGCTCCGCCCCTCCGAAGTTCCCCTAGCAACACTGTCCTCCTCTACGGCAGTTCAGGCGCCCGCGGGATTGGCACTTCAAAGGCCAGGGCGTGTCATGGGCGATCGCCGATTGGTTCTCGGTACTGGTCCCGCCCCCATTCTCGCACGTGGAAACATCTTCGCCGTGGGCGCCGGCTGGTCCGTTCCAGTGTCAAACGCATCCCTGTGGTTCGCGACAGGTGTGCGCCACAGGGGTCAAACCTGGTTTCCGGCACAAGGACCGTTCCAAATTCTGTAGTGGCCATAACCGTCGTCCACTGGGAAGGTGGAGGTTGGGCCACCGCGGGCGGGTTTTCCGCTCCGTGGGGAGGCTGGTTTGGCCGATTCGGGACCTGAACAGGTCTAAATATATTTTTCCTTCTCTTTAACTTTCTTTTTCTTAGGTGTCAGGAGAGTACAACCGTTAAGCGACTTGGCTTAGTGGCTGGGACTCTTGGGGGGAAGAGGATTGGCTTTCCGGGTAAAGAAAGTCTGCACTTCACTGCCTCAAATTTCAACGGAGCACGCGGGCGGCGGCGCGTGTTTTCCTGGGCCTCTTCCGGGGCCTCTGGCGCGTGTGAACTTCTGAGATTTGATAACTTAAAGTGCTGGTGCCGACTTTCTGGGACGAGTTGCTTCTCTTTGCAACCCGTTACTTGGCGGAGGCGGATGGGGAATGAGAAAAGACCCAGACTCTCACTCAGACTTTTTGACTTTAAAGAATTGGCAAACTCGCGAGTTGATTCGGTAGCCTATTTTGAGATGTAGATTTTTGCGGTGTAGATTTTGAGGCTTTGGAGATAACTGCCTTTGGTCAAAGACCGTTCCGCCTCCCTGTTTTATTGTAAATACCTAAATGATCAAGAAAATAAAGATGCGGGCGTGTTGTAGAGACGCGTGTTGATCCTTTTCTTTGCTGTTAGAGGGCGGGTGCTGGAGCCAGGAAAAATGTGGGGATTCCGGGGAAGCGGGAGAACTTTCCGTACCTGCAATGTGGTCCTTTGAGAGACGTGGGTCTTAATCTGTTGGAAATCGCTTGCCTCCTTCCTCTGCCGCCTCCAAGTTTGGAATGCTCTGAGTTTTATAACATGAAGTGATAAAAACGGTTTAATCTTTACAAATAGCAACTTCTCCGCGGGGTATTTTATAAAGCAAGACGTGGGCTAGGTGCGGTTTCAAGCATTTGTCTGGCTCGCAGCAAGTGCTGGGCGACGCGGTATATTTTGGCTGCCTTATCCCCATTTGGCGGATTTCGTAGCTTCTAAAGTTGGATATGGACAATGGAAGGGCTACTTTTCAGAGTGTTACCGGAAATTTTAGCAAGCGATAGGTTGGTGTGTTTACATAAGGTTTTGTTGTAATTAAATATATATGTATATTGGAGCGGTCTGCCCAGTATTTGTTGAAGAGTTCCTGGGGGTGAAACGTCATTTCAGCCTCATCATTGTGAACTATGCTTGTATGGGATAAATTGATGGCAAGTGAATGCCTTGCGCGGTGGAGTGAACCTTTACATAACTTTTAAAATTGTTTTTAACGTGTATTTAATGTCTACAAAAAGTTTTTTAGTGTCTTAAAAAAAACAGATGTCTTCTTGTTCTTATGTTGTTGGGATTTTAGGTTTTTAACATGAAATATAAATGGGTTTCATTTTAGGTAAACCCATTTTTTGCAGGATTTTGAATTTAAAGAATGAAATAAATTGTGCTTGATGTAGTAGTGGTGGATCTCTAAGAAAATGTTGTAGAAGCTGTGTTCGTGTACCTTTTGGGAACACATCAAAGGGAATTAAAATTTATGGTGTACCTGTGATGAAACAGGCATGATGCTGAGTGTTACACAGCCCAGTGAAGGAGATATTATTCCAATTTTACCGGTTAGAAAATTGGGGCACCGAGAAGTTATATATCTGTTTAAAGAGAAATTGCAAATTTTGAAGTTCGAATTTGGATTCAAGTGTTGCTGTCTAAAGCCCAGTTCTTTGCATCATGGCCTGGGCACTGTAAATAAAAATGTAACAGTTCTTTTGCAAGAAAGAGCAATTTGAATTTGAATTTAAATGTTTCTGACAAACCCCAGTTCTTTGCATCATGCCTGGCACTTAAAAGATGTAACATTTCTTTTTCAAAAAAGAGTTGTTATGTCTACAGTGTACAGGTACAATGTGAATGTACATTGCATGTTATGACCGTGAAGGTTCATTATCTATGTGCTTCACGACTAATAGCTATGTTGGGTAGATGTGGCAAATATTCAAATAAGCAAATAAAAGCCAACAGGCATTGTTCTAAGCATATGCTGTGTATTAATTTGTTTCTTCCTCATAAGTATGAGGTTTGTACTGGTATATCCATTATACAGACTTAAAAATGGAAACAGAATTTAAGTTTTCTAAAGTCATACAACTAGTAAGTGGAGGAGGTGAGATCCATACCCAGGTATTCTGGCCACAAGCCTAAAGTCTTAATGCTATTTGATGCTTCCTCTCATGTAGACAAGTGCTACAGTTGCCTTAACCCATTAAGTCCCAAATTTTCAGTTCTGTGAATATTTCAATATAATTAACACAAGTGTATTAAAATAGATTGGGAACCATAGGGTGTATATAGTACTACATTAATTACTATTACAATTATATTCTTATTGCATATTATATGCTGTATTTAAATTTTATAGGTGTTCCACATCTGAAACAATGGGACAAAATGGGTTAAAGTATAAGCATTTTTGTGGTCAGGAAAACAGTGTCACCTCCAGATGGAGTCATTGTTGATATAGCATCTTTGCTTTTGGGAAGTGGAACTTGAATTAAGCCTTCAAGTTGAATAGATTCTCCTAGGTGGAAAGACAGCAGGGTATTGTGGACAGGGAGCATGATAGGAGCCAGAGGCTCAAATAATACAAAGTCAGTGTTGATTTGTAAATGTGCCACAGAAGTAAAAAATGTCAAGAGCGCTGTGTCAGGCTCAGTGCTATCTATCTGTGGCCACATTTGGCAGCATTGTAATTAATGCAAGTGGGGAATTGTCTGAATGTAAGAGCCTATAATAGTAGTAGGCCTGCTTTGGCTGCAGAAGGCCAGGTTTTAAATATTTTAAGCTTAGAACAAGGGGGCAAGTGGTAAGAGGTGACCTGACTGGTAGTCAGGGTCCAGTTTATGTAAGGACCTTGTAGGGAGGCACTGGAGGAGCTTGGATTTTATTGTATATTGTTATGGATGGGATTCCAGGTGGCTTTACTAATAGAGAAGAAAAGGAGCTTGGATTTTATTGTGTATTGTTATGGATGGGATTCCAGGTGGTTTTACTAATAGAGAAGAAAAGGAGCTTGAGTGTGGAGGTAGGCTGCAACCCTTACTAGCTGTGAGACTTAGGTGAATTACAGTTCTTTGCCTCAGTTTTCTCATAAGGAAAATGGTGATTACAATGAAACCTACCCCATACAATTGTCAGTAGATTAACAAATAGACTACTTAACCAAGAAAAAAAAAAGAAAATCCAAATTAAGTTAGAAATAATTAATGATTTTAAATTGTGATTTTCTTAACAATTCTGAAATTATGATCAAATTATCATCCTCTGGATAAAAGCAGTTTGTCAAAGAAAAAGTAGAATAATTTGAGTGGATCAGTAATCATGGAAGAACTTAGAAAATGTTATAAAGTCTGGCACAGAGTTTCTTTAAACTCTTTCAAGCCTTTAAGGCACACCTTTCTGGTGTGATGTAAACTTTTTCAGAGTGTAAAAAGAAATGGAAGGCTTCCCAATTAATTTTGCAGAGCACTTTTGATACCAGGGGTTAATAATATACCAGTATGGGTTCATTAATTGTGAGAAATGTACCTCTTACTAATGTAAGAGCTTAGACATGCAGTTTCTAAATAAAATACCAACAAATTGAATGCTATTTTCCATGATCAGCTGTATCCCTCACCCAAAGCATATTAAGAAATGTATTAATATGCTACATTAGTAGATGAAAGGAGAAAAAGTCATTGATGCCAAAAAGTTTCTTGGTTTAAATTTTCAAATGTGGATACTATCGATATCTCTTTGACCTACTGGTTCTACTTCTAGGGATTTATTACATAGAACTACTTGCACCAGTGCAAGACTGTTTTGCAGTGTTCCATGTAAGAGCAAATCTTTAGAAGTAACTTGAATATCCATGAACTGGGGACTGGTTAAATAAATCATGACATATTTACCAGATAGCATACTAAGATGTTAAAGTGACTGTGATGTATCTTAAGGTATTGGTTTGGAGTGACTTGCTGGTTTTTTGAGCTTTCTATTAATTGAAACATATACTGTGTTCTCTTGCATTGTCTTCTACTCAAGGTTATGGTTGTAAAGTTCATCATTGCTGAGAGCAACAGTAGTTGGTTTATTCTCATTGCTGTGAATACATCAAAGTTTCATAACTTTAATTATTCAGAGCTTAAGTTTGTTTTCTAGTTAGAAAAAAACAGTTTTTAAAAAAATAAAATTTGATGGCAGTTACATCTCAAATTGGATGTGTTTTATAACTTGGAATTTTTACACATTAGTCTAACCTGGTATTTCTAACCTGGGATTCATTCTCCCGTCTTCTTCATCTCCTTTTGGTTTCTCTCCTTTGGGTCTTTGGTCATTAGTGTCACCACAGTAAAGGGAAGAGGAAACAGGAAAGAGATGAAATCTGAATCTCTTAATTGTCTTCTCATTGCTGCTGTGGCTAAGGATGGTTTAAATTAGCTTTTTTATTGATGTACCCCTCCCAGGAGCTGTGATGCTGGTGCTCAAATAGAATTTCTAGTACATAATCAGTGTTATTGTGGTCAGTGTCTTGTTTTGTCTAGAATTCTAGACTTTTGGCTGTATTTGACATCCATTTACTTAGGTTTAATCATAATTTTAGAGGTGAAGTTTTCTTTAGAGCCGCTCTGAACAGGTTTGCACGTGCAGGTGAGGAGGCAGTGTCTGTAGGGGTCTCTCTCCTCCACACGGTGGCAGTGGTGGGGCCCAATCCAGAGCTGACTCCTGGTGCTCCTTTTAGAGGCATGCTGCCTCCCCAGGTCAAGAGCCCTTTTGATGGGCTGGGGATATAGCTCAGTGGGTAGAGTGCTTGCCTTGCAGGCACAAGGCCTTGGGGGCTTGATTTTTAAAAAAGTCCTTTTGAACTCCTTTACAAAAGCAGTTAGCAGTGGTGTTCTATTGTTCACTTGTTCCCAGTACTCTGGGGACTTTAAGTTGTTAAGCAATTTGGAATTGATTTTTTTTTTTTGGAGCAGGGAGAGGTTCCAGAGATTGAACTCAGGGGTATTCGACCACTGAGCCACATCCCCAGCCCTATTTTGTATTTTATTTAGAGACAGGGTCTCACTGAGTTGCTTAGCAGCTCAATTTTTGCTGAGGCTGGCTTTGAACTCATGATCCTCCTGCCTCAGCTCTCCTGAGCCACTGGGATCACAGGCGTGTGCCACCGTGCCTGGCTTAACTTTGATTTTTATTCCTAGACCTGGGCAGTGTAGCCCTTTCTTATTTATTTTGTTTTTTGAGGGTTTTTAAAAAACTTTTTCAAATAGGTGAGTTGATTTTTGTTTCTCCACTTTTTTGGGGTGGGGGGGGGGGACCAGGGATTGAACTCAGGGACCACTGAGCCACATCCCCAGCCCTATTTTGTATTTTATTTAGAGACAGGTTCTCACTGAGTTGCTTAGCACCTTGCTTTTGCTGAGGCTGGGCTTTGAACTCGAGATCCTCCTGCCTCTGCCTCCTGAGCCGCTGGGATTACTGGCATATGCCACTGTGTTGGCCCCAACCCTTTCATTTTTAAAGATTTATTCTAAGTTTCTATGGAAGAATTGTTTTGTCACTCTTTAAAATTCAAACAAAACTTAAGTTTGAAGTGCTATTCTCAGAACATATCCACATTAAAGTTATTTAGGTAGTAAATGTGTAAAGTAACTTTTTTTATGCATTGCTTTTCAGGAGTAGGAGGTTTACCAGTCTTAGGTGACTAAGCAGTTTCACAAATAAACCCTTCAGCAAGTTTAAAATTAATTAGGCTCAACTCACTGGAAGTGGACCATCTGCTGATACACAGAAATGATGTCTAATTGTTCCAGTGAGATGGATGTGGTTTGTACTCAATTTGAAATGTCTTTATTCCTTTTGTTGTGCTGTCATTGTTTTCTAAATTCACTTTAATTTCATATAGTGTTATGCATAGATCCTAAGTAAATTTTTCACCATGAATTTTGACTGATATGTATAATACTTCTTGTGAACATTGGTGTGCAAGTTTCTTTGTGAGCTTCCACTCACGTTTCTTCTGGGTAAATACCCAGAAGTTGAATTGCAAGGTTATAGAGTTGATGTAAATTTAACTTTATGAGACTCTGCCAAACAGTTTTTCAAGGTGATTGTGCTAATTTTGCAGTTCTAGTACGTTCTGCTGTTTCTTAATCCTTACAAATTGAACCAAAATATATTAAAGCATACATAATGAGGCCTAACAGAAAACACATTTATTTAGTCACATAAGGAAATGACTATTAATGCCATCTAAGTAGTCTGTGTGACTCTTAACTTGCATTAGCCCTAATGTTTTTCACCTTTGGAAATAATATTAAATATCCACCAAGAGTCATTTTTAACAAAATTATGTGAAAACACTTTGAAAAGCATAAGGCACTATACAAGAGATAGAATATTTTATAGGTCATAGTCTATACCCCAATTCCATATTATTTTGGTTACCTATCAGTGCAAGGAGAATCCAGATAATATGTATGATATATTTTGAAACAAAGATATACATAGCTACCATGTGTGTTTATTTTAAAATTATTCCTAGAGTTCATTACTTATTCTTGGAATAAATACTTATACCAAAACGTAGTAGTTATTTACACTCCCTTACTTATTTTTACCTTGTCTTATTCCAAGAATGTTTTAAGATAATTTAGAGATTCATTTATCAAGAAAAAGTGAGTGCCTGAGTGTGTTCTGTTTTGTCCACAGAGTGGCACTATTGGACTATTTAAAAATCAGGTCATTAGAAGCCATGGAACATTTTATCTTTTGTTCATGGTTAAAAATGTTTGCTTTTAAAGCAGTTTTAGTGCAGAAGACTAGTCTTCCCACCCTGAAGCACAAAGGGGGTTCAGCTCTCTGGAGATGGTACAGTAGTGTAGTGGGGTTAATGAGAACACAGTTCTGCAAGTACATCTTTTTGTGTAGTCAGTGTTTACAGTAGGCATAGGTCCTTTGATATCAGTAATAGGCTTTTGAAGCTTCTTAAAAATGAAGTTAAAGTTCCCAACATCTCTTTTAGTTTTGTATTTTATCTTTCCTGTTAAGTTATTTAATAATCTTCCTCAGATCAAAACAGGAATACCAACTTATGAAGAGGAAGATGATGACGATAACACTGTTCTTTACGCATATGAGCCAAACACTACATTTTTCAATAACGTAAGTAATATTAATTGCTAGTTGACAAGTATGTTAAAATTTGCCATTTGAAAGAAAAAGATTTCAATTCTTTTTTGGGGGAGGTACCAAAAATTGAACTTGGGCACTCGACCAATGAGCCACATCCCCAGCCTTATTTTATTTAGAGACACAATCTCACTGAGTTACTTAGCACCTTGCTTTTGCTGAGGCTGGCTTTGAACTCATGATCCTCCTGCCTCAGCCTCCAGAGCCATTGGGATTACAAGCATGTGCCACCGCACGCAGCTCAATTCTTTATGTACTATGGAAGTCCTTTAAACTCCCACTCAAGGAACTGTTTCTCTGCTGAGTTTGTATGCTTTCTTTCCTTAGACAATAAGCTCTTAACCATTTTGCTTCTCCCTTGTCCTAGGAAATTCAGAGCAGTTTCATACTGGTAATCCAAACCTAGTTTCTTCTGATAAATTCCCTGGCACCCCCCTGTTATTTTTTTCCTTTGGATGTCCTGTTTTCTTGTACTGAGATTAAAAAAGAGACAGCAATGTAAGAATTTTTCTACATTGGTGAGAATTCCCACAAACACCCACAAATCTCATTTTGTGAGGGGAATTGGGGACTCAGCTCAGTACAGGGTGAGTCTTCAGACTCTTTTAAAAGAGACAGGGAAAGCACACTTTGTTCTTGTTGTTGTTGTTGTTGCTGTAGATGGACATAGTAACTATTTATTTATATGTGGTGCTGAGGATGGAACCCAGTGCCTCACACATGCTAGGCAAGCACTCTACCACTGAGCCACAACCCCAGCCCCTGTGATCCCTTTCTTAATGGGCAGTTATCATTTCCATTATCAGAATAATGTGAATTTTTGTCTCTGCTTTAAATTGTCTTTTGAAAGGTTGATGGAAAATAAAAACAATATTAAAGAGATAAATATCAAGTCCTTTTTCTCCCCTAGCATACAGTGGGAGTCTTACTGAAACAAAGCATTAACTGCTTACTTTTAAAATATTATAGCAGGAAAATGTCCTATCGGACACATCCTACAATGATGAGGAGCAGAAAACCGTTTTGGATATCCTTACCCATTGTCAGGTACGATGTTCTGTTCCTTCTGTGTGGTTTTTTTAAATGTTTTTTTCTTATTTTTTAATTTTTAATTTTTAATTTCTTTATTCTTTTTAGGCATACATGACAGTAGAGTGTATTTTGACACAGTATACATATATGGAGTATAACTTCCCGTTCCTGTCATTGTACATGATGTGGAGATACACTGGTCATGTATTTATACATGAACATAGGAGTGTTATGTCAGATTCATTCTACTGTGGTTTTCTAAAATGTTAAAATTCTCTTTATCTCATATAAAGAGAACTTGTACAATTATTTAAAATTTCACCTTATTAAAGTATTTATGATTACCACCCCATTGTGATGATTTTAAACAGTTTCTAGTTTGACTAGCATTTGCAGGTAAAACTTTTGAATCAACAATACTTGGATCTTAGGCGCTTTAAAATAAAACATTAATAACCAAATGTAGTTGTGTCTCTTTCATCTAGTTTGCTCAGTATTGAATTAAGTTCCCTAAAAATTCTAGAGAACATTGACTGATCCGAGTGGATTTTAGTATGTGCCTCACTGCATATCAAGATATCTCCATTGAAACAAAACAGCAGCCTATAAGTGTTTTTAGGAGTACTTACATAGTTTTTTTTAAAATTTTTAGTTGTAGACAGACACAGTACCTTAATTTTATTTATTTATTTTTATGTGGTGCTGAGGATCAAACCCAGTGCCTCATAAGTGTGAGGCCAGCACTCTGCCACTGAGCCACAACCCCAGCCCTAGTTTGTTTTTGTTTGGTTTAGTTTGGTTTGGTACCAGAGATTGAACCCAAGGGTGCTTAACCACATCCCCAACCCTTTTTTATATATTAAGATAGGGGCTCACTGAGTTTCTTAAGGCCTCACTAAGTTGCTGAGGCTGGGTTTGAACTCACTATCTTCCTGCCTCAGCCTCCCTTGTCCCTGGGATTACAGGCATGCACCACTGCGTCCAGCTCATCTTACATAGTTTTTTTTTTTAATCTTTATTTTATTTATTTACTTGTTTTATATGGTGCTGAGGCTTGAACACAGTACCTCGCACTTGCTAGGCAAGCACTCTACAGCTGAGCCACAACCCCAGCCCACGTTTTCCACGTTAGCTTGTTGGTAGAGTTTGATAGAAGTTTATAATTATCAAGGGTTTTGTAAGCTGCATACCCCAGAGGCAATGACAGTTTATGAAGAAAAAAATGTTCACCTATAAAGTTTCTTAAATAGAATGACTAGCATATTTTGAAAAGTAAAAGTCCATGTGTGTCTTTCTCATTCTTACTAGTGCCTGTAGGTCCTAGAGCCTGGGATGGGCAGAGCTGTGCAGAGGTGCTGGAGAGGCAAGGAAGAGGGCTGGGATTTGGGACAGGGCTCTTGTCCCTTGCCTAAGCAGCCTCCTAGGCCTCTGCACTGCTCAACCAAGGTCTCTGAGTAGTTGTGCAAGCTGGGATGGGATATGGCATCTTAGATAAGAAGTGCCCAGGTCCCCAAGCTCTACCCCAAATGACACACAGGGGCATTTCTCCAAATGTGTGCCTTTTGCCATCCTCTGCCTCCTTCCTTACCATTCTCACCGCCTGGTGCAGCCCTTTACCCTTCTGTTTCCTTCCTCCCAGTTCCCTCCCCGGACTCCCACCCTTGCCAGGCACCTGCTGGGTTCCCAGCTCTAGGCCAGCAGGCTGGGAGCCCTGGGCTGTCTCCTTCGAAGGTTCTTTCCCTAGCCCCAGTCCACTCTACTGTGAGAGTTCGCACCACACACTCTGCTGCCTCTTCTTTGCTGGAGACTGGAGAACCCAGGCAGCCATCTTTCCAGTCCTGATTTCTGTCCCCATGGCCAGCACACCTATTGGAGCTGAGCCATCCTTGTTCTGACTCCTCCTCCCCATAGGATAAGAACAGTGTCCTGCGCTGCCCAGGGCTGGTCCCTCCACTGGTTTCTGGCAGGCTCTCTTCCCTGTGCTGAGACCTCCCGGGGGGGGCATCTCTCCCTTCCTGTGTCTCCAGCCCTGTCTCTGTAACTCCCTCCCTCAGAATATCCTCCCACAGCTTTAAAACATCCCTCCTAGTTGCTGCCCTCAATCTCACCCTCCTTGTCAACCCAGCTCCTTGGATGTCTTTTATACTGCTAGCTAAATGTCTAGCTTCCTGTTTTCTCTCTTTTGGAGTGTTTTTGAAGATGCTGTTTCTTCTGCCCTTTCTGCCCTTCCAATGTATCTTTACCTGGTTGCTGTTTTTTTACCTTTAAATTCTCAGCTCAGACATCACCTCCTCTGAAAATCCTCCCTGACTGCCAGCCCAGGTTCAGTGTTGCTCTTCTGGGCATTCTTAGCCTCCTGTTCATACCTGCGCCATGCTCCTGGTGATAATAAAAACAATAAGAATGCCAATAGAGTACTGAAGGTTGTTGGACCTGTCATTGTGTACTTGTGTTATCATTGGTGTTAACACAATGCTTTAGCAAAGTTCTTGTCTTCAGTAGAACCCCTAAGACATTTTCATCCCAAATTTTGTACATGAGGAAATTGAAGCACAAAGAGGTCAAATAAGCATAAAGCTAGTAAGTGTTAGAATTCTAGTATTAAAGCCAACTGTGTTCCCTAGAGCCTACACTGTTTGTCCCAGTGCACAGGTCAGTGGTTTCCCTACTTGAATATGTCTCAGGGTTACCTGGGGGGCTTGTAAAAAAAAAAAAAAGCCTGGTGCCCTTACTCAGATTTGTGATTTTGTATTTCTCACAAGCCTGCAGATGATGTTGATGCTGCCAGTCCAGGGACCACATTTTGAGAACTGCTATTCCAGGCTCTATTAAAATTGTCTCTTTACTTCTCTCCATAGCTGAGATGGGAGTTCCCCCAAGACCGGAGTTTTTGGGGTTTTATTTGTATTTTTAATGTCTTAGCACCTGGTGAAGTGGTTCCTATAGGTGGAAGGCCCTTAGTAATTTTTTTTTTTTTTTTTTTTGCCCAAGGGATTGAACCCAGAGGTGCTTTACCACTGGGCTACATCCCCAGCTCTTTTTATTTTTTACTTTGAGATAGAGCCTTACTAAGTTGCCTAGGGCCTCACTAAGTTGCTGAGGCTGACTTTGACCTTGCAATCCTCCTGCCTCAGCCTCCTGAGTCACTGTGATTACATGCATGCATCATGTACCTGGCTTTAGTAAATGTTTATTTGATTGAATGAAGAAATGTTTCTGGTCTTTTAAATAAAAGTGTGGTTTTGCCTGAAATTTCTGTGTATTTCAAGAATCTCAGATTTGTATCATTCACATACTAATGGGCACATATGGGGACATGTACTCAGTGGTTTTATAAGGTTAATTGTTGACTGCATGATTTTAAAATACTTTGAAGCCAAAAGTCACATCTGTTGGATTTGGCTCTGTATAGAGTGTGGAACGCTTGCTGTCTTTTAGTTCTTGTATAGAAGGTGACTCTTTGGCTTTTTAGCAGATTTGAACACTTCTTTCCTAAAATAGCACCTTCCTTGATGTGAAATGGCAGCATCCTTTCAATGTCCATGTGGCTTCGAGTAGTGTAGGAACAGTCGAGGCTCCTTGACTGAGCCAAGAGGGTTCTGTGTCACCAACAGGCCTCAAGTCAGAACAGACATGTGTTTCACTGTGCCTAGCAGTTTGAACTTGGCTTCATGACATTTTCACACATTTTACTTTGCTTTTGAAATAGGAACTATAATACATTTTCTTTTAATAGGTTATATTTGATGCTATCCAAAACCTGGATAAAAAATTTGATGTCATTGATGGAAAGTTGGCAAAAATCCAACGTCTGCGTACAAAATCCTTTTGGAACTATCGCGTAAGTATTCTATAACTGTGATAAATGTAAAGCTGCCAGTCAGTTAGAAGGGCTAGAGAATTAGTAGCTGTGTAAGATTAGCAAGGCTGGTCTGTACTTTGTAGGAGCAGATGGGGAACTGAAATTCTATAGGAAAAATGCTAGTGTCATGACAGTAAGTTCAATAAATGAATGAATGGTAGTGAGTATTTGTATGTTTGTACCCATAATATATAAACACAATTAAAGGGCTGAGGGTGTAGGTCAGTGGTAGAGTGCTTGCCTTGCATGAATGAGGCACTGGGTTCAATCCTCAGCACAGGAAGAAAGTCTGTGAGACACAATTAAAATGTAGGCCAGAAGAGGAATAAAATTTAATCATATAATCAAGAGAGCATTTATTTTAGTAATGTAAAATAGTTTTTATGTAAAATAAATATTAATATATTAACTACTTATTTTTTCTTTCTTTCTTTTTTATACTGGGAATTGAACCCAAGGGTGCTGTACCATGGTGCTACATTGCCAGTCCATTTTATTATTTACTTGGAGACAGTGTCTAGCTAAGTTGTTTAGGGCCTCGCTAAGTTGCTGAGTCTGGCCTCTTCTATGCGATCTTCCTGCCTCAGTCTCCCGAGTCACTGGGATTACAGGCATGTGCCACCATGCTGACCTTATTTCTCTTTTTATTCACTGTTGATTATTGTTGGGCTTGTGTCATTTCAGAAGCCACTTGGATTTGCATGCAAAAATTATAATCACCTGCTTTCTAAAAAAGTTAAAGTCCAAAAAGCAAAAAAGAAGGAACGTCTCAATTCATTCTCCTATCCTGAAAGTTACAGCCCGACTTTACCAGTTCGCAGACCAGAAAATGATGACAGCAACATTGTGATCTCATCTTTTCAATCTGAGGAATCCCAGGAGATGGAGTCCCTGATCAGGGATCAGGAGTCATCCCTCAGAGATAGCCCACCGATCCCACCACTCTTCTCTGGGCGTTCATTCCAGACCTACCTCAGAAATGATGACAACACACATGGTCCTTCTATAGTGTCCTGCTTTGCCAGCCCTGGGGCTCGCAGCACCAGCAGCATCTCTTCTGCTGGAGTTTCCATAACAGTATCCTCAAATGGAGCCTCCATGCCAGTAACTACAAATGCACTGGCCCGAGGAGAGTCCAACGCTGATATGAAGAATTACCCAGGCTTGCTGGAGAATACACATGCTCTGTCATCTCACCACATGTCATCTGGTTTTGGTGAGTTTGGAATGACACATGTTACAAATATCACTATTTAACCTCTCTTCTTTAACATCCTCCATATGAGCTAGTGGAAGCTGTTTCCTATTTTGAGAGCTGGTGATGGTATTAAGGGTGAGTATTATTCACTAAATATGTATTATGTGCAAGGCCCTGTGTTAAGCAACTAATCACTGATATCCTTAATGACCCCATTGTGAAGTAGTTTTTTTGAGGCGGGTGGGAAGGGTGTACCTGGGATTAAATTCAGGGGCACTTGACCACTGAGCCACATCCCCAGCCCTATTTTGTATTTTATTTACAGACAGTCTCACTGAGTTGCTTAGTGCCTCACTTTATTTTGCTAATGCTGGCTTTGAACTCCACGATTTTCCTGCCTCAGCCTCCTGAGCTGCTGGGATTACAGGCGTGCGCCACCGCACTCGGCCCATTGTGAAGTTTTTAATATTGTTATTTTTATCCCTTTCCCTGGATGAATAACTCAAAATACTCCTAGAATGACCAGAGAGCAGATGATAGGAAAGAAAGGACATGCCTTTGGCTAATCCACACCCCAGAAGATCAAATTTGTTTTGAGTCCTCGAGGCTCTTGCAAATGACAAAACCCTCTTCACTTATCACACACACTCTTTAGGGAGTGGAGTGCTTTGCTTGAGTGAATGAATACTTGTCAGGACACAAAGAAATGTCAACACAATTTAGTGAACAGCACAGCTAAAACACGCTGAGGTGTGAGTACCTAAATTGTTTCATGTCTCAGTTATTTCTTTATTAAACAAGTAAACCTTCAACTAAAACATCTATTGCTATGCAATTAAACATGAAAGAAGAATCAAATAAAATGTTAAAGTTACTTCTGATTTAGCTCAGCAGAAAATAATCCTGTTAAAATTCAGATTAAGGGCTGGGGGTATAGCTCAATTGGTAGAGTGCTTGCCTCACATGCATAAGCCCTGGGTTCAATCCCCAGCACCAAAAAAAAAAAAAAATAACGTTTAAACCACAAGAGACAGGAATCTATAAAGAATTAAAGTGATGCTAAAAATATCCATATTGAAACTATGGGAGAGATTTGGTGAAAGAACTAATTTGGTCCTCCAAGATAATGGGGTTGTTGAAATTCCTTGATTAAAGTGAACAAGTTTAAGCAACTATAAAATGGTAAATTTGGAGAGTTTCCATTGTATTTAGTAAAATAAACCTGATTTAGAGAGATTGAGAGAAATTCATTGAAACACTTAAGAATGTAATGGGTTAGGTTAGATTTACCTAATTTAATCCACGTAATGGATCTTTTGCTGTATGGCCCAAGAGGCCTTGAATTGCTTGGTCTGTTTTATAATTTTTAAAGCTTTAAGGGAACTTCTGAAGCTGCTTCCGTTTAGGGGCGGTCATATGGGATGCTCTTATGCAGCTGTCTTGATCATCTTTAATGTAGGCTTTTACTAATTTTACAGTTGGAGTCTTGAGTCCTTGCTTGGGTATGTAAGTGAAGGTTCCAGAAATTAGACCATTACTCCCTACCTAACATCTCTTTCAGGATAATGATCAGGTCAAGTGATTTGTGTTTTTTTTTTTTCCCCTCATTGTGAAGCTACAAGTTCACCAGTTCAATCTGAACCCATTGTGATTAACCAAGACTACCCGGAGGATCCTTTAACCTGGTCTGTGGATGATGTGATCCTGTTTCTGAACCATACAGATCCTCAGATGTCAGGCCCCCTCTCTGGCCTCATTGAGCAACATGTAATGTATCTTTTCGGGGGGAGGGTTACTGGGGATTGAACTCAGGGGCACTCAACCACTGAGCCACATCCCCAGCACTATTTTGTATTTTATTTAGAGACAGGGTCTCACTCAGTTGCTTAACACCTTGCTGTTGCTGAGGCTGGCTTTGAACTCTCCATCCTCCTGCCTCAGGCTCCCAAGCCCAGCCACTGGGATTATAGGCGCTCGCCACTACAACTAGCCTGTAATGTATCTTTTGATCTCCAGGCAGGCCTTTCAGTTAGATACTGAGTTGTGTGGATGGTGGGGGAACCCTATCAACTGAATTTGCCATTTAAGAGAAAGGTTATTTTGCCCAACATTAGATCCTTAAATAGTAGGTTAATGGTCTTTCTTTAAATGGGAATCCAAGCGCCTAATATTCTAAACAGCCTCACATTCTCAAGAGGATGGTTCTGCATTGCCACTTTCAGGTGGACCCCCCTTTTGTAAAGACAGATACAAGGATCCTCCCCACCCCTCAACCTGTTCCCTGCTCAGCCCTAGGACCATGAGTAGGAGAGGGTGACTACAATCTGTAACAGGGCGGCCTTTTTACTATGATACCCAATATATCCAGCAACTAATTCCAATCGATTCAATTCTGTTAACCTTATATGGTTTGTGACGTTTTATGATGCTGATGCCCTCAGGCTGTACCAGACCCTTTAAAAAGCAACACCCTGGGATAAATTTTAAGTTCTAATTTCTTCCATTTCTAGTTTTACTTAGTAGAAAATGTACAGAAGATGCCTGGCAAAGATGGTACTATAAGGGATTTCAGGTCTTTTCAGACAGTGATACTTGATTAAGTAAAATTTTTTCTTTAAATTGGAGCATGTAAAAAATCAAATAATAATATGCCTTAGGCAATGTAAGTTGGTTAGTTAAGATAATACGAAATTTTAAAAGAGCGCCTTGCAACTATCAAATAATATTTTTACTGTGTGTTCTAATGAATACAGTCAGTGGCCATGTATCTAATGTGCCATTTTCACTGTGATAAGAAAACCAGCAGTTTCACATCTAATTAGCTTCAGACAACTAATTATTTTTATCAAAAATACAACACTGTATAGTATGTTTATAGTTTGCATTGACATTGAGATACTCACATTCCCAGCCCTTGTCAGGAAGCTAATGAACATCTGAAATGAATTTCTGTCATTCATAGTTTTTACTTATTTTGTCATAGATATGTGGTATGTAATTCAACATATGGTATTTAATTAGGTAGTTTGACAGTTTATTTTTAAAATATTAGGCCAAATTTTTACCAAATGATGCTTCACTGTGCAGATTATATTTTTAACAGTCTTTATAGAGTAGATGCATATTCAGAGACTGGAAAGAGCTGCTCTCTGATTTGTTGCACATGTTCTTATATATATAAAGAACCAATCTGATCAAATATGAAAATATTATTAATTATTGTAATTCCCTTCTCTCTGTAGGAAATTGATGGGAAGGCCTTGCTGTTGCTGACCAGTGACACCATGATCAAGTACATGGGGTTGAAGCTTGGAACCGTCTTGAAACTGTGCCACTACATCGAAAAGCTTAAAGAAGAAAAAGGCCTCAACAATTGAGTGTTTGCAGAAGTTTAGATTAGGTTTACCAGTACCTTCTTAAAGTCATTATTCTGTCCTTAGTAGTTTCTGTTTTGTAGAAGGTTCCTCTAAAAAATGTTATATCCACAATTGTAAAATGATAAGTCAATGATAAGTCAAGTTTACTTATTTAAAAACCATTTAACATTTTAGTATTAGCACATTCAAATTGAAAGTTCATTCTTTATGCCTTTTTGTTATTTTTCATCATATAGTTTACAAATACACTTCATGTAGGAAATGGCAAAAAACCCTTTGATTTATGTGCATCTTTATATTTAGAGCCACAACAGCTTAAGAGGAAATACAACCTCTGGAATTAAATCCATATGGGGGAATTTTTCCTTAAAAGAGAATTTTTCCTTAAAAGAGAATCTATAGGCATCTTCTCTTTCTCAATTATTTTGTCTGATATGTTTTACCAGTTTCCAGAAAAGAAATAGCTATATAAAGTATTTTACTCTCTGTTTTTATCTTTACATATTGCACTTGTTAGATTTAGAGGGGGAAAAATGAGTTTATAGACTTCTTGAAATATTTGTACCAGTTTTGGGATAAGTTATAGGATTGATAGAATGGTCATTTTATGCAAGAGATATTTACTGCTGGAGTAGTGTAGGTGGAGTCACTATTTTATTTGTTGAAATACCTGTTATTTTAAAGCTTACACGTTTTGGCTAAGGTTAGACATATAAATAGGAATTAATTATCCACATCTCTCTATGAAGATACCTATATCCAAGTGATTAAAAGAATCTTATTTTTGTGACATGTGTTTATTCCTCATATGAGTGCTATTTCATACTTTTCTTTTATTCTGTATGTGAAGTATATACACAAGTAAATCTTTTTAAATTTAAAATGGCATTTTGTACTGTTTCAGAAGAAATAATGATCCAGTATTAATGAGATGTTTTTATTCTGTTATATATGCCATATTTGCTATCACTAGTACCTCTCAGCTTATTCTTCAGGGAATCACATTCACAATCAAAAAATCAATCCTCGGGTTGGTTCCCTTTTATGGAAGTTCTCTGTCTTGTGTAGTATTTCTAATTATTTTACCTGGTTCTGAGCCATTTATCCTGCTAAACTTTGAATGATAACATTAGTTCCAACTTATTGATTTGGGCTTAATTTTATAATTTTAAAACTTTTAAGAGAAATATGTTCATCATCATTATTCTCTTATTGTTAAATTGTTTAACTTTGGTATAATATTTTTAAGCTGTGAGAATTGGTGCTAATAATTGTATTGGCCACTTGTTATAAATGTTAATATGCTGGGCATGGTGGCACATGCCTATAGTCCAAGTTATTTGGAGGCTGAGAGTGGAGGATTACAACTTTGAGGACAATCTCAGTCTCTTAGTGAGACCCTCTCTTAACATAAAAACATAAAAAGGGTTGGGGGCCACCCCTGAGTTCAACTTCCAATGCTACAAAAATAAAAAAGTAATTGTTCACCAGGGGCAAGAATATACACTTTGTTTAGACAACCAGCTGTATACACAAGTGTAACTATTTATTGGGCACATATAATTTAAAGGATGGCTTTATCTGTGTTATTCCATATGTGGTATGAAGCAAAATTGTAACTTAAACTTGGTCTTCTGTCAAATTGTTTGTATGAAGATGCTGTGCCCAGGTGCTTTAACCTCAGGTGTTTGAAAAATACTATGTTTCACTGTTTTTAGATCTTAAAATATAATAAAGTTGAATAACTGCAACAATTAATGCCAAAGCCTCAGATTTGATTTCTCTTGCTTTCACCATATCACATGAGTGCATGTATTTGTTAAAGGTGAAAAAGGGCCATTTTAGTAAGTTCTGTGGTTTTATATGTTCAATTACTTGAATTTTAAAATATGCCCTGATTCTCTTGTTAAATAGATACCTAGCAGCAAAGGGCAATATCCTTTAAAGGAGACTCCAGGGGACCCAGAAGAAAATTAAATCAGTGAGTTTTATTTGTGCTCACTGTTACTGAGGTTTTAATGGGTTATGCGAGTGTGCTGGAAAGTGCCTTCCAAATGCCTCTTCCTGTCTAAGTTTGTGTGTCTCTCTGGCAACTCTGGCTGCTCTTTAACCATTAGGAACATAAGCTGCCTCTCTGATACACCTGTTGTGTTCCCCCTGCCTTTAGATGGCCCAGCTTACATGGCAAGTTCCTCTTGGAGAATACAAGTGACAACCAAGTAGCCTTAATTATTCAGCACCTGTGTTCACTCCAGTGAGGACCCAAGCCAGGCTTACTGCTGCTGCTTCCCAGTAGTGTGGCCTATGGCAGGCAATGTGTTTTTGGAAACAGAGGGGCCCTGACCAAGGCTCCAGGGATGAAGCTCTACAAGTTAGAATGGGGCTGTCAAGTGATAAGAGATTGGAGTGATAAGCACACCTTTTCTTCCCTATCCTGTGTGTAAAATTTTTAAACCAGAGGCTGTCTTGCATATTACCTATCCTGTGATTTTTTTTGTCCAGACTTTAAAAATGATCTTTCTTCTAGTTTTGCCTATGAGTCCACCTCTTGACCCTCTGTAGTCCACAGAATTCTTCAACTTGACCTCTCAGGCCTTCAGGCACATCCAGCGTTTGCTTTGGGCTTTCATCTGGGTGACTTCCCATCACTGGAATGTCTTCTAGTATGTTCTAGAGTGGGATTTCCCCAACTTTTAAACCCAAGTCTTCTCCTGCAGACATAAAAACATCATGCCCTTCTGTAATGTATTTTTTTTACCCTTTTTTATTCTAATTTGACAGCAGAATACATTGAGTTCATATTATATAGAGAGAGCACAATTTTTCGTATCTCTGGTTGTACACAAAGAATATTCACGCCATTCGTGTCTTCATGCATGTACTTAGGGTAATGATGGCCATCTCATTCCACCGTATTTCCTACCCCCATGCCCCCTCCTTTCCCCTCCCTCCTCTTTGCTCTATCTAAGTTCCTCCATTCCTCCCATGCTCCTCCCCTCCATCCCCATTATGAATCAGCATTCTTATATCAAAGAAAACATTTAGCATTTGGTTTTTTGGGATTGGCTAACTTCACTTAGATTATATTCTCTAACCTGCAAATGCCATGATTTTGGACTCAGTGGTAGAGCACTTGCCTAGCATGCATGAAGCACTGGGTTCGATACCCAGCATCACATAAAAAAAAAAAAGGTATTGTGTTATTCTGTAATATTTGAAATTTGAAAATAACCACTATATCTATTAACAGTGTAAATTGGAGTTAAAACATTTTTCAAACTATGTGATGGATTTTACTTGCACTTGGCTGGTTAAATGAAATAGGTTTAACTGGGGTCTTTTTTTCACACTCTAATTTGTTATATATGACAGCAGAATGCATTACAATTCATCTGGGGCCTTTTCTATGATCTGATTCTAGGATGTGCTTATGAAGTCCTCTGAGATTGGTCAAGGTAATGAGGGAAGCTGTGGGGTACACAGGATGTACAGACAATGGCCTGCCTTTAGAATGTATGGCACACAGTTTTCTTTCCTCTACTTTCCTGTTATTCAGAATTTCAGTACAGTAGTACTAAACATTTAGATACATTCCTAGAGGTTTCTTAACAGTCCTGCTGTTTAGCTCTGAGAAACACTTGTTCTTCATGATGTGGTTAAAAAAGGAAATAAGGTTGAAAGGAAATAAGGTGTCAAATGCTGTTATAAGCGTAAACACATTCCTTTGTCAGTAAAGACTATCAGGAGTCACGTACAAAGTATCACAAAGAATTAGCAAAATAGGCCAGGTGCGGTGGTGCACACCTGTAATCCCAGCAGCTCAGGAGGCTGAGGCAGGAGGATCACGAGTTCAAAGCCAGCCTCAGCAACTTAGCAAGGCACTTAGCAACTCAGCAAGACCCTGTGTCTGTCTGTCTGTCTCTCTCTCTCTCTCTACACACACACACATATATATACATATACATACATACACACACACACACACATAACCCTGTCTCTAAATATATGTATAAAATGGCTGGGGATGTAGCTAAGTGGTTAAGTACCCCTGGGTTCAATCTCCAGTACCAAAAAAAGAAGGAAAGAATGAAAGGAACAAATACTAGGGTAAATTGCCATCCTGTTTGTTTTAGTCAGCTTTTTCACTGCTTAGACCTGACCAGAACAATTGTAGATGAGGAAGAGTTTATTTGAGGGCTCACAGTTTCAGAAGTCTCAATCCGAAGTCAGCAGGCTCAATTCCTTGGGGCTCAAGGTGCAGCAGAACATCATGGCAGAAGAGTGTGGCAGACAGAAGCAGCTCACATCATGATTAGTAAGCAGAGGAGGCTCCACTCTCCAGATACAAAATATATATCCCAAAGCCGAGCCTCCAATGTCCCACCTCCTCCAGCCACACCCTGCCCACCTTCAGTTACCCCTCAGCTAATCCCATCAGGGGATTAGTTTACTGATTGGGTTAAGGCTCTCCCAATCCAATCATTTCTCCTCTGAACCTTCTTGCTTTGTCTCACACATGGGCTTTTTGGGGACACTGCATATCCAAACCATAACACTGTTGAATGAAAATACAGATGTTTAAGAAAATACATCTTATGGTGGAATCTGAGGGTGCTTTTCTGGAAAGAGAAATTGTCAGAAGGAGAAGACCCTCATCTCTTCACCACTATCCATCCATACTCTACCCTCTCAAAAGGTGCCTCTTCACTTTTCACATCTCTGGGTAAATTCCTCCAAGTACAAGACCTGGTTGTTTCAAAGTTATCACCACTCTCTGTTTGGCTTTTCTAGTTGTTAACTCTTTATATTTGCTTCTCTGACAAGGAGATTTATTTATCTTTTTCATTCTTATCACCCCCATATATAATCATCTTACACCTGAAAATGCCCCTAATGATTGTTTTTATTTTAGTTGTTGATAGGCCTTTATTTTATTTATTTTTATGTGGTGCTGAGAATCGAACCCAGTGTCTCACACATGCTAGGTAAGTACACTACCACTGAGCCACAACCCCAACCCCCTAATGATTCTTATTTGCCAATATACCCTGTTCCTGTGTCCACAGGTCTCTCCCTACTGGGAGAGTCCACTAAAATCAACATCACTGTAAATGACATTACTACCAGGTAAGTTTTTATATATCATAAAATCATGGTGTTCACTGTGGCACTTCAACCACTATGTAAGAGCATGACCTTGCACCTAATTGTCCTAATAGCCCTAGACAAATTTTTAGCAGTTGTGTCACTGTTACGAGATAAGCTGGACAGTTTGGGAAATAAAAATTCCGAGCATATGGTGGGACTGCAAATTAGTGAAGCCAATTTGGAAAGCAGTATGGAGATTCCTGGGAAAGCTGGGAATGGATCCACCATTTGACCCAGCTATCGCCCTTCTCAGTCTATTCCCTGAGGACCTTAAAAGAGCGTACTATAGGGATACTGCCACATCAATGATCATAGCAGCACAATTCACAATAGCTAGACTGTGGAACCAACCTAGATGCCCTTCAATAGATGAATGGATAAAAAAAATGTGGCATTTATACACAATGGAGTATTACACAGCACTAAAAAATGACAAAATCATGGAATTTGCAGGGAAATGGATGGCTTTAGAGCAGATTATGCTAAGCGAAGCTAGCCAATCCTTAAAAAACAAATGTCAAATGTCTTCTTTGATATAAAGAGAGCAACTAAGAACAGAACAGGGAGGAAGAACATGAGGAAAAGATTAACATTAAGCAGAGACGAGTGGGGGAAGATAAAGGGAGAGAGAAGGGAAATCATATGGAAATGGTAGGAGACCCTCAATGTTACACAAAATTATATATAAGAGGTTGGGAGGGGAAAGCGGGGGGAAACAAGGGAGAGAATTGAACAACAGCAGATGAGGTAGAGAGGGAAGATGGGAGGGGAGGGGTGGGGAGATAGTAGGGGATAGGAAAGGTAGCAGAATACAACAGTCACTAATATGCCATTATGTAAAAATGTGAGTGTGTAACCGATATTATTCTGCAATTTGTATTTGGGGTAAAATGGGAGTTCATAACCCACTTAAATCAAATGTATGAAAGATGATATATCATGAGCTTTGTAATGTTTTGAACAACCAATAAAAAAAAAAGAAATGCAATCAAACACACACACAAAATTCCGAGCATATCCCTCCCTCCAGCCCCTGCCAAGTTTTCCTCTTTTTAAAGTTCTGCAAATAAGGAATCTGCTAGGTAAGGATATTTCTGGAGGGAACATGATGTATTAGGATCTCTAGGCTTCCATTAGTGATAGACCCAAAATGCAATGTGTCCCAAGTACACTAGCAGCTTATTTCTTACAATCCTAATCAGATATCCCTTTCCCCTGTGGCAGTTGGGAACTCTGGCTCCGCATTCCCCTGTCAGGGCTTGGGGTTCTTTGATTTCAGTTGGCATCACACCTGTCTCTTCTGTTCCCATTGCATCGCCTGGAATTGTCACATGACCATTCCTTACTGTAGCAGTGCCTGGGAAAGTGTGTGCCCACAAAGATGAAGAGATGGGTCTATGGTAAATAGCTAGGGGTCTCAACCATATATTATGATCTTAATAGCAAAACATAACCCATAAAGGCCTCATTTAAAACCCATCAATTTCCCTGTTACATCCTTTTACATGTATTGAACTCTTAAACCTGACTCCTCTTATCCTCTTTCCCTGCTTTACTTTCTCTATATCGCTTCACCCTAACTCTTGCCTCATCACTAAATACCTATAAAA